CAAAGACACTCCAAAATATTAGAAACTAGTATCAAAGACACTCAAAAATACTAAAAATCTAGTTTTAAACACACTCTAAAATACTAGAAAAGTAATTTCAAAGACACTCCAAAATATTAGAAAACTAGTATCAAAGACACTTCAAAATACTAAAACTCTAGTTTTAAAGACACTCTAAAATACTAGAAACTAATTTCAAAGACACTCCAAAATACTAGATAACTAGTTTTAAAGACACTCCAAAATACAAAATACTAGAAAACTAGTTTCAAAGACACTCCAAAATACTAGACAACTAGTTTTAAAGACACTCCAAAATACAAAATACTAGAAATCTTTTTTTAAAAACACTCTAAAATACTAGAAAAGTAATTTCAAAGACACTCCAAAATATTAGAAATCTAGTTTTAAACACACTCTAAAATACTAGAAAAGTAATTTCAAAGACACTCCAAAATATTAGAAAACTAGTATCAAAGACACTCCATTATTAAGCTTGAAACTGTATCAATGCCATAATATACGATGAAAACCATTTCGAATGTACGTGCGAAACAATTTCGTTTAATTTTATTACGAAAATATTGAATTAATTTACAGTAATGATAAGTAAGATCAAATTTAAAGTCACGATAAAACAAAACGTATAATGATTGGTTAATTCAACGTTCCCACCATATGCACATTCCCTAATTAACTTAAACCAGTGCTCAGGTCGGAGTCAAGGTTCGAATTTCCAAATATCAGGCCCTTTTGTTTGAGTTTACGTAAAATCCTGATTTTGGTGAAAGCATGCTTTGTTTTAACAGCCGTTTGGTATGAAGCTCGGCGTCTGTCTGTTCATTTCTGCAAGTGATACATTGATTTTATCTAATGACGGAAATGATAAGTTTTTTTTGTTTTTTTTTTCAAGAGCTCAGAACAAAATACATTTTCAAAACTACAGGGTACTCAGTAGAGCACATGTTCCCACCACGCAGCGTTGATCATATTCGGCTCTCAAAAAATACGAACATTTGTCCGTATGTCCGGTCCATTTTTGGCAAGACGTTGAGTGATAATATTCTACATATGTCCACCAAGTTTCATCAAAATCCAAATATTTTTGACTGAGTTAAAGATTGTTGTTGTTTGTTATTAAGCACAAAGCTACACAAAGGGCGCTCTGCGTTCTGCCCACAACGGGTATTGAAACCCAGTTCATAGCAGCATAAATCCGCAGATATACCACTGGGGAGGGACTGAGTTAAAGATAAAAAATAGTGTGAAAAATTGTTCCCCATGTTAATAGATAGGCAATTTTTAGATTTTCGTGACTTTGCTGTGACCTAGACCTTGGACGTTGACCATCCAAAAACTAATAACTTTTAAGTTGGATCATAGTCCAAATGTATACCAAACTTTCGTCCAAATCCATTCAGCCGGTTTCGAGAAACGTTGCTGACAAACACATACACACACACACACACACGGGTGAAAACAATCTATGCTATTGGCTTCTCTAATAAATAAAGATAAAGGCATAAACAAATCCGAAAGACTTAGGTCTGGGTTATTACGTTAACCATCCAAATGTCATTACTGAGTAGAGTGAAAGTTAAACGCTTTTATTAATTCTGTAGTCTCCCGGAGGGACAGCGGTAAGTCTACGAATTTATAACGCTATAATCCGGGGTTCGATTCCCAGCGGTGGACACAGCAGATGCCCAATGTGGCTTTGCTCTAAAACAAACAAACAAATTCTGTGGCGCTGATCAGACATGGACATTGTGATACTGAACATTACATATTGATAGCACTCCTTATACCCAACTGATTAATCATGTTAAATCATTGTTTTATGATATATACCCAACTGATTAATCATGTTAAATCATTGTTTTATGATATATACCCAACTGATTAATCATATTAAGTCAATGTTTTATGATACTGCTTACTCCTGACTGACATATTTGTCACTGCTTTACGTTTTAGTTCTTATCTGTTTAGGTAACTGGCTTTCGTTTGAAGTCGTTGAGCTTGTTGTTTGTTTTTACGGCAAAACTACATAGTGGGTTTATCCGAGATCTTTCCACCGCCAGGATTCGAACCAAAGATTTTAGCGTTGTAAGGCCGTAAACTTCCCTCTGACCTACCGTGGGACACGAAGTTATTGATAATAAGTCAAAGCTTTCGTGTTTTTATAATAACTGTTTCCAGTAATTAAATGTTACTTCTTGGGAACCGCTATTTCAGTAAAGTTATTGTACATCAGGTGTTGGAAGTATTTATCTAATACGTGCGACATTAAACATGACATTTCACGTGCCACCTAAATTATAGGGGGCGCTCATCTTGGTTTTTAGTTTTCAAATGTCATCTGGATATATAACAATACTTTTTCATGCAAATTTTGTTAAATTACAATTATCTAAAAAAAAAAACGCATTGCGATTACTATTTTTAACTTAATTAGTTATCATACATCAGTTCACATAAATTCTCTGATGACAAAATATTTTTGTTTTAAGATAAGTCTAGAAAGATTAACACAAGTGGTGGTTTCTTTGTTTGTTTGTAGTTAAGCACAAAGCTACACAAAGGCTATCTGTGCTCTGCCCACCACGGGTATCGAAACCCGGCTTCTAGCGTTGTAAGTCCGCAGACATACCGCTGTGCCACTGGGGGCTATAAGTGGTGATTTAAATTTTTAATGTTGCCCAACGAACACTATGTTTCACTTAAACATGGTATATTGACTATATTTATTTACGGACATACAACGTAAAAATCCGGGATTTGATTCCCGCGGTAGACACAGTAGATAGTTCAGTGTGGCTTTGCTCTAAAACAAACAAATAAACAAATAAAATCAAGAGCTTAATATTCAAATATTATTTCCATGGTGACTGAGTCACTTTCTCGTTTGTTCTACGCTACACTGGATTTGATCATTATAAAGATGGGTATATTATAAAAACACGTGAGAATATACATGTAAGATTTTAATTTTTACATATGATTTCTTCCTAAAGAGGATGCTGATTAGCAGATAGAATTCCGGTGCAAAATACTTAGAAAAAGCAATTAGATCTGTAAAAGTTTTAAAGTTTTCCACAAACGAACATAGCACAATCGGCCACCTGTTTTTGAGTTCCACTCAAGTTTTATTCTATTTAAACTTACCACATTTCCAGAGCAAAATCGCATACACGAATAAGCATAGCAACATTCCAATTGCAGTCATCTGTACAAGTACTCGTTAATTCTTCAGAGCAAAGTGAATAAAATATTGTAGAGAAACGAAAACTGTTTCACCGGATTACTTTCAAGAGATCCGTAAGAAGAGCGGTAGGTTCCTCTCGGTTAGAAGACATTGTCATGCGAAATCCGAGTTAGGCCTAAGCGATCATTCCACTATTCTGACTTGAGACACGGGAGCACCATCCGAGCGACTCTGGCTTCTTCGTGTTCTCAGCTCCGTTTAAAACGCCGCGCGAGTAAGCGCTGCATACGACCAACAAATAGAAAGCATTCAGTAGAACTCTCAGCAATTACTAAGAGGTGGAGTGTGACGTCGTAGGGGGATGAAAGAAAGGGGTAGGTGGTCGATTCTCGTTGTTGATCATCGGGCCGCGCCCCGATTTACCATATATTCGTTTCTGACCAGACTCTGGGCAGCGTTTTGACTTCTTGCTTCCTCAGGCAACTTGCATGCAAAGTGGTAGTGTACTTTCAATATACAAAATAATAGCCATTGCCTTTTCTTATACCAATATACATGAGCGTGTGTGTGATAGCTTTATTTTCTCTTTTTATCGATTTTCGTCCATAGAGCCTAAGTTCTTATAGCTTTACCAGAAAATGTTTGCATGTTGCTCATAGTCCTAACTTTTCCTTCTTCCTCTGATTTGTTTTGCTGTTTTTTGCGTGTTTTCTAACAAATATAAATGCTAAGGTTTTTAACTTATGCGATATCCTCCCTGAAAGATATTTTCTTCTTTCCCTATCATATTTCTGATGAGATTTTATAACTTATAGACGATCAATATATTCTTTGTTTGTGCGAAGATTTGATTTAACCCGAAAAAGAAGTTATTGAAACTCGACAACTGAGTAATCGCAATAATCAAAGTAGTTTATAATAAGCCATATTATTTGCATCTTGTGTCGTGGTTAAGGCTTCCTTTTAATATTGCCTATGTCGCATTTACTTTTCAGAACAAAACTTTTAGTTTATTTGAAGGTCTCCTATATTATCTCCTATCATTATACACAAGTCTTCTATATTATCTCCTATCATTATACACAAGTATCATATATTATCTCCTATCATTGTACACAAGTATCCTATATTATCTCCCATCATTATTCACAAGTCTCCTATATTATCTCCTATCATTATTTACAAGTCTCCTATATTATCTCCTATCATTATACACAAGTATCCTATATTATCTCCTATCATTATTTACAAGTCTCCTATATTATCTCCTATCATTATTTCCAAGTCTCCTATATTATCTCCTACCATTATTCACAAGTCTCCTATATTATCTTCTATCATGATACACAAGTATCCTATATTATCTCCTATCATGATACCCAAGTCTCTTATATTATCTCCTATCATTATTCACAAGTCTCCTATCATTATACACAAGTCTCCTATATTATCTCCCATCATTATACACAAGTATTCTATATTATCGCTTGTCATTATACACAAGTATCCTATATTATCTCCTATCATTATACACAAGTATCCTATATTATCTCCTATCACTATTCATAAGTCTCCTATATTATCTCCTGTCATTATTCACGAGTCTCTTATATTATCTCCTATCATTATTCACAAGTCTCCTATATTATCTCCTGTCATTATTCACGAGTCTCTTATATTATCTCCTATCATTATTCACAAGTATCTTATATTATCTCCTATCATTATTCACAAGTCTCCTATATTATCTCCTATCATTATTCACAAGTATCCTATATTATCTCTTATCATCATACACAAGTCTCCTATATTATCTCCTATCATTATTTACAAGTCTCCTATATTATCTCCTATCATTATACACAAGTATCCTATATTACTTCTTATCATTATTCACAAGTATCCTATATTATCTCCTATCATTATTTACAAGTCTCCTATATTATCTCCTATCATTATTCACAAGTCTCCTATATTATCTCCTACCATTATTCACAAGTATCCTATATTATCTCCTATCATTATTTACAAGTCTCCTATATTATCTCCTATCATTATTCACAAGTCTCCTATATTATCTCCTACCATTATTCACAAGCAGACCTTATTCTGTTTTGTAAAGCCTATCTTTTAAAACAGTTGAAGCGTATCCATGGAAACAAGAAGTCTGGTTGTTGCTAGGTGAAACTAATATTAAACTCTACGAATGGCACACTACATTTACATTAAGCATGAAATATTTTGTACTGAAACGCAACTGATAAGAAAATTTCATTTTGCAAGCACATGAATTTGAAATATGAACATGCTTTTAAATTAATTGCCTTCACTAGTAACTTTTAAATGTAAGATACCGAGAATACATTACTCGGATTGAGTTATTTTCTTTCTTTGTTATTAAGCACAAAACCACACAATAAGATATCTGTGCTCCGCCCGTCGTGAGTATTAAAACGTGATTTTTAGCGTTTTATGATCTCGGATTTACAGCTAAGTCGCCAGGGGGCGACACTACTCAAATTTCAAAACTTCCTTTCTTTACTCTCAAGGAAATTGTTTTTTTTTAGAAAGTTTATTTTCTGATGTTCAATTTAAACACAAATTTGGTAAAATTAAACGAATTTCTTTAAAAAATTCCTTGGGTTATTTTTTCTAAAGTACTATCAATAGAAAATGAAGAACGATTAAGATCTAGCATTAAAAGTCGATTGAGTTTGATTATTTTCAGCGATCACCTACACTTATATTTACTGCCATTTCTAGAAATATATTCAAAAATGGAGTTAATTATAAATCAAAGAGAACACAATATATTTCTTATTCGAGATCATGGCCAGGTGGTTAGGGGGCTCGGCTCGCAATTTGCGGGTCGCGGGTTCGAATCCCTCTCCCGCTAAACATGCTCGCCCTTTCAGCCGTGGGGGCGTTATAATGTGATGGTCAATCCCACTATTCGTTGGTAAAAGAGTAGCCCAAGAGTTGGCAGTGGGTGGTGATGACTAGCTGCCTTCCCTCTAGTCTTACACTGCTAAATTAGGGACGGCTAGCGCAGATAGCCCTCGTGTAGCTTTGCGCGAAATTCAAAAAAGAAACAAACTTATTCGAGATAAAAAATCACTCCCCTCATTCCTCTAGCAAAACAAACAAACAGAAGTAACAATTAACACTGAGCAAACAACCTGCCCCCCAGTGGCACAACGGTGTGTCTGCGGACTTACAACGCTAGAAACCGGGTTTCAATACCCGTGGTGGGCAGAGCACAGATAGCCCATTGTGTAACTTTGTGCTTAACTTCAAGCAAACAACCTGATAATCAACAAAGTCACTTTACAGAAGAAGAAGAAGAAAAAAAAAAACATGCCCAATCTCAACGTTGATAAATAAATAGTGAGAGTTGAATTTGGTAAACAGATGTGATGGCTTGGCCCGAAGTTTAACTTTATGCAATCGTTTCTCACCTTAATTTCCCCAAAAACTGGGCCTTTTTGATTTATTGGTGTTAATGAATGATCGTGTTGTTTAATTATGAAACTAATTATAAGGTTAAGATTTGTTTTAACACACCCGCACGTACCAAACACGTTTATATAACACAGTTATTGACGGCACAGTGTTAAATGCTCTTTCATCTTTAACAAACGTAGCTACTGAAAATTGTTGCATGTAATTACATTCCAGCGAAGGTAACTATTTACAATGAAATAACTTTTTTTCTCTTGAGTCAGTCAAATATAAACTTTGAATAAACGTGCATGATAACAAAGTCACTTGCGTGACATGTAACTGTATCTCAGCTGAAATGTTTGTTACATACATACGCTTTAGTAGAAAAATGATTTGTTGATTAAATGCCACTGAATATTTTGCTGTTCTTTATAACCTGCTTATGAACAATTTTCACGATTCCGAGGAATGGGAGCACTTATTTAGTAGTAATTAACAATAATTAACTTTACTGCAATTAACCTTAACAGACAACGATCGCAAAGAGAAGATTATGCATGGGGCATCGATCCGAGCTACCTAAAATCGACCTTAAGAATTCGGTTCTGTAAGCCGATGAATGATTCAGATCTCTCGATCTGCGCACTTCAAGTTAGTTTAGGCATGTCCAGTACTTAATTGTATTTTGATTACTGCTGACCATGCGAGTCAGTTGAGTATTCAGTCAACTCACTCTTTGTGTATGGCTTACTACGAACCATTAGATTGTAACGCCTTAGAGTGTTACAAGAAAGAAAACCTTGGGCAAAAAATGAAAACTGTTTTTTGTTCTGTTTGTCTGTTTATGCGTTAAGCTACACGATAGACTGTCTGCGCTATGACAATCACAAGGACTGAGCCCAACCTTTTAATGTTATTAGTTAGCCCTTATGCCTACCAATGAGCTCCCTGGGGTTTTAATTTTAGGTTTGTTTACAAATTAAACTGATTTTTCCACTGTCTAAAAACGTGTTGAAATATCACGTGAACGTGAAGATTAAATCTGTCCAATCAGTAACAAGATGTTGAAACGTAAAACCAGACGTGGGTTGTGGTATGTATTTACGTGTGACAGGTAAAATATCCTTGCCTTTGGAATAAAATAAATGTCCAAAAAATAATTAATCATGCCAACAACTAATTATAAAAGCATTCTTTGCAAAAATACTTAAGCTTGGACAGCACATAAAATAATTGTATACGTTCTTCAAATTAAAATGTGCCTCTTATATGAACTTAAGGTACTTTAATGCATCGCAAATTTTTACTTATTTAATAGCATTCACTTAGGATAACCAGAGGAAAACAACTTGCTGAACATATCTTGAAAAATAAAAACTAAAACGCAATAGAAAAAAGTTCATCGGAGATATTCTACCTAAATAATTTATTCTTGGTTATTCAGGTATTTCAAAAGTAAAGGTAGATCCAGTTTTGCAATCATAACACTGGGAAAAATACGCTCACTAGCCATTTTACTATAAGCCCCGCCTAATTACGTGCTGGACCAATCACAGTAATAAATAACCTGTATATACACATGATGCTGATTCAGCATAGCTTGTTTGATTGTAGCTCAGTAGTCAAGGAATATGGAGGGTGGTCTGTAATTAGCCCACGGCGGAGAGTTAAGGTTATGACTGTGATGTTCAAGCACATACTCAAGAGGTGTTGAAAACAATTGTGCTGATGACAAAAGATCATTGACGTCACTGACATGCTCTTCACAACAGGTACTGTGAATTGTTGTCTTGAAAGAGCC